ATAAGGACAGGCTGAAATATACTTTACTTCCAACTACCTATCAGAATGTCACAGATCAGCAGGTGGATATGCCATAGCAATTATTCAATAATGATTTTTAAGGAAGTTATTCTGTAGAAATGTGGGGACTGATAAAACCTAGTGTCTCTTCCTGATCATAAGACTCCAGAATCATCAGCCAAAAAAATAAATTCAAGATAACTGAGCTTCAGTATAAATGGAACTTGCTCAGCAGTTTTGCATTCAAATGCACTTCTGCATATCCAATGGCATCTCTATCAGCTTTTAGTGCATACCCAAGATGTCTTTCTTCTCTATGGATTACTTCACATTTTAAAAATCTTGCTATGAGAACAGATATCTTGGCCTTGAGTAGGCCAGGCACATGGCCATCATTTAATGGCTCTTCAAAGTTTAGAGCCAAAAGATCCCACATCTTATAGCTGTAGCTCTAAGCAACCAAGAAAGAGTCAGCATTAAGTTTTCCCTAAGAACTAGATGTTCTCTTTCATTTTCAGATGCACCTTTTGGGTCTTATATTAACAACCCATGAGAAAGACAGCAGGTATAGTGTAAGCTACACTAAGAGCACAATCTGAGGTAAAAGGCTCACATAGAATTACCCCTCATGTAAATCCTAATTTTTTTTCAATGGACTGGAAGTGGGAGAAGCTCTTGTGAAGACCCCAGAAATGCCCATGACCCTTAAATACATAACAACAAAGAGCAGGAGAGCAGAGGGGAATATCTTCAATAAATGATAAGAACATCAAGAACACCTTAAGTCAGGTTACATTATTTGCTTATTTAGCCCAATGTTGTGTAGCCTAACTGGAAGAGTTCCACATGACTTTCTAGGATTGGAGATCTTTATGATCACCTGCTTCCTAAACATTTTAATTCAGGGATATCCAAAATATGTGTTTTACCATTGAGATATGATTCCTCTTTGGGACAGGATTGCAAAAAGGAAGAAAAGGCAGCTCACCTGGCAGGCGAAGGTTGACCACTCTGTCAAACAAGTTCCGCTCAGCTGTTACACGATTCAGCACCTGATTTAACAGCTATAGGAAAAGGGAAAGAAGAGTGAAGAATACTGAAACAGAGTCAAGTATTTTTTTGTCTGCACATTTGCAAAGGCACAGGCTCTTGCTTCACCATCTGAACAGCAAAGCTTAAACAATCAAACACCATGAAAATAGTAGAAATGTTGGATTTAGAATGACATGAGCAAGAGGTTTAAGGGTGATTGCTTTTCTTATTCCCTGGTACTTTCTACAGCATTTGCAATCTTCAAAAAAGTATTAAAAATCCAGCCCTGGATGGAAAGGCCTGAATGCATCAGTTCTCTGTGTGGCTTGAATTTAAGTCCCTGAATCAGTATTAGTATATTAGCAGATACAAACCAGCACAGCAGCCCAGAAAATCTGTGCATAGCTCTTAATAAAATAGTGACAGTAGATCTGAGCCTCCAGCTGTAACAAACTGAAACTATGATGACATCACACAATCTAGACTGTAGATATTTCCACTGGAAGAAATCTTTCAGAAAAGAAATAAGTTCTTCATTCTTTTGGACAATGGTCTTTGAGGATAGCAAGTGGTAGAATTCAACAAGATCAAGTGTGAAAGATATTGTTTTGAATCTCAAGGGCCATACTGTTTTAAGAAGCAATTGGTTGATTCCAACAGGTTTCCTTTTTCCTTTCCTTTCCTTTCTTTTTTTTTTTTGGGATGCGAAAAGCAACAAGTTGTTTGGGCTAATTTTACTGTATTCAAACTCCAAGGGAACAAATCAGTATAGTTTGAATATATTTGCATGAACACTCAAGCCCAAATGTATGTGACAAAGCGATTTGTATCATCATCATTCATGTCAATTTTTCAGAAGTATTTGTGAAAGGAGGTGGTACAAACATGTCCCAGTTTAAATGCATGCCTTTTCCTTCCTGTAAATGCCAGTTGCCCATCTATATCTTCCCTTGATACCCACCAAGCAAAAGGCCTCAGAATTGTAGTACCTACATTTAACTTACCATATAATATCTGCCTGAACAAAATTGAGATTATCTGCTGCAACTGGTCACCGCCTCCTGCTGTTTCTTTTGGTACCCCCAATACAAAATAATTGGTCTGTAGTAAAGGCAGGGTATTAACAAATACTTCTATTGCTTACCAGAGCTTATCTGGCGAGGATCCTTTACAGAGGAATGTGCTCGGGCTGGATCCCTACCAAACCATGATTAAGGCAATAAGCTCAGAAAGGATGTACAATGTTTTCTAGAGGAGAAAGAGACTGTGCATGCCTGATCTCCATCCCCAATGGACTGCAACAACCACATTTCTCATATGGTTACAGAAGACAGAATTTTCTCGGACAACTTGGGTTGCTCTCAGATGTAGATTTCAGTACTCAGAAGACTGAAAGCTTTGATGTATGGATCTGACAACATTTAAATATGTACTTATATTTGGCAGGAAGGGTGATTTACTGATGTATTTCGATCTGGAAGCTTTAAGTAAACATAAGACATTAGGACCTCTGAAAGAAGGAAGCAGGGAGAAGGAGATTGGGATGACTTATCAGAGAGTTAAAGATGTGGTACTACTTGGTTTATTCAGGCATTTTATGAAATGTGTATTTTTTTTCTGTTTTCTTCTAAATAGAATCAAATAAGAACAGTAAAATTGAGATCTTTATCTTGCCACAATATATTATAAGTAATCCCTGCCAAAAATAATTTTAGTGAGGGAAGAAAAAGAAAAAAGAAAAAAAAAAGCCTGTGGTCCTATATATATCATCCTTCAAACTGTTGATAACCAGCTAGATACTTTTTCAGAAGAAGGTAATTCTGCTGGGAAATTGTGAAGGTGACATAATTTTGCCATTACTTATTAGTATGTTTCTGAACGTGTGTGAATAAGCATGTATGTGTGTACACAGAAGCATATGATATTCCAGAAAAGAAAATACCTGTGCAAGTCTCCTGAGTAATAGTTCTGAAGAAGGGCGATTCCAATCCAGGAAGATCTCTGGAGCTAGAGTGACAGTCATTTCCAAGACCCTGAGAAGGCTCACTGACAAATCAAAGCAAGTTGCACACACCTTCAATTGGCGACTATCTACAAAGTTTCTTTCTAGGCGTTCTGCAGCTTGTTGGATCTATCCAGACAAAAGGATGCAACTTAGGGGACGGAAGGAATGGGTAACACAGAACAAATAACCACATCCAGAAAAGTTGAACTATTTTGGATCAGCTTGTAATCAGCAGAATCAACACCTGTAACATTTTGGTTATTCTGGGTTTAAATGAAACACAATCTGGACATGTAGAGCAAGGCTGATGTTTGTTGCTCCCCTTCACACCTTTCCTCAGCTCCCTACATGGTATATCCCATGGGCCTTTCTCATACCAACCCAAAATATCTATTCTCTGTACAACTGATATGCAAGTTGGCTCAATCCCAGCATTCCTAAGGACCTGTGCTGCTTTTGCTATCCCCCACTAACACAGGACAAGTAATATAAGAAAAACCTATTCATTGTCCAGTATCTCATCAGATGGAGCCTTGTTTGGAATTAGACTTATGCTGGACCATCGACTCACCTCTTGAATCATGCCAATAAACTCTGAGAAGGCCCAGTTTAATTGGTTAAGGACACTATTGAGGAAACTGGGTGCCATTTCTTGGTCACTGCGCAACAGATCCGCCATGTGTCGCTGCAGCAAGGTGGATGGACATGGCTCTGGAAGAAAACAGTAGCAGATGCTAAAAAGACCTCACTGTTAGACAGTGCTAGAAATCATTAACCTACATCACATGAAAGTGAGGAAGAGCTAGAATACTCAATTTCAATCCTGAAGCATTTTGCCCTAATGCTGGTCTGAATTAGCAGGGATGCAATGATACCTTCTCCCTGCAAAGAAATTATACCTTATGGCTGAGGTCTGGTCAAGCATCCTTCCCATTCACCTCTATATGGCCTGAAGATATGTCAGGATTCATTTCTCCTGAAAATAATATCTCAACAGCTACACAGAAATGTATCAGCACCAAGACAGCTGTCCCTACTCCTTAGCCCACATGATATTCATATTTGTCTATCCAGCTCCAATCAGAAAATACAGGAAGTCAGAAATCTAAAGGGGAACCCCCATCTCCTAACAGCCAATCTATTCATGGACCCTAACACCAAGCTTGCAAACACTGCATTTTGAAGCAGGCTAGGTGTTAGGGTCCATGAAGCAGAGCTGAGAAAGCAATTGAAAAAGAATGTCAAGTGACTCGAAGCACCTAAGAGCTGCTTCTACATTACTCTTCTCTCCTTACAATCTTAGAATACTTAGTGGCAAGCAGAAAATGGCTTAACACACACACCTTTAGAACTTGCTAATGGCCAACTGAGATGAAAGAAACACCTGCTGGACAGATGAAGGAAGATCTGATAGCTTTATGCTTTTCTTTCGAATTTCCAAACATTCCCCTACATGTTTTTAGAAATGTAAGGAAAGAAAATCAACACTAAGGAAGCATTCCTATATCACAAAATATAACTTGATGTGTTGATGATAATGTTTCCCCAAGTTTCAAGGCAATTTGGTAATGATATTTCTTTTAAATAAAATGCAGCATTCCTATTTTGCTATTATTATTATCATTATTGCCATTCCTCCAGAGGTTCAAGGTATGCAAACAGTACTCCTGCCTTCAACTTTATCCCCACTCCAACCTTTGAAGCAAGCTGGTTTAGAGATAGTGAATTGCTCAAAACCCCAGTATGCTTCTATGGCTGAACCTGAATCTTCCCAGATCTCTCCCACAATCTGGCTGAGTTCAGATTCAGTTTGGTGCAACCAACCCCTTGCTAAATGTGACTCACAAAATGCTGCATATACTAGGACACTGCCTACTTGTAAAGGGATGCAATGAAAGCACACCAGTATGACAGGAAATTTTTAAAAGTTTCCTAACAATCCCCAGTACCAACACACACAGAGTTGGAAGAACTAGCTAACAAAGAATTTTGAGAGCTATGAGAGACAGAGAGTGAGTGAGCACACATGTACATAAGCACAACACTTTACAAGCAAGTCTCTTGGGTGATATATTTTTCCTTACACAGGACAGATGATCCATTGTAAAAGCTACCAAAGAAGGCCCTAGGCAGGAAATGACTTTAAACTGCCCCTCCATAAATAAATGTTAGCAATCAAAAGAATAAAAAATCCAAGAAAATGTTCATCAGCATTATGCTTCAAAGAAGCGAAAGTACTTTAAAAGCACATGAGCAATCCTAGCAGGCAGAAAGGTCTGTAGGTTTTAAAATTCAGAAATTCCACACCAAGGTAAGAACCAGAGAACACCTGACCTTCTGCATTCGCCTATGTTCTCTTTCTCCTTGCACCATAAGAAAGACTTTGGGGAGATGGAGAAGGCTCATTCCCTTTGGGGCTAAATTAGGCCAGCTCCTTTCAATTAATTTGGTATTAATTATTCATTCAGGTACACCTCAAAATAGCAGAGAAAAGTATCATTAACAAGAGGATCTAATGCCCTGCCTTAGACCTTTTGGAGCCTCCTACAGAAAGAAATACCAAACTGAAAGGAGCTTGCCGGCAAAAGAGAAGAAAAGCAATGCTCCATTGCCCAGGAGGTTTCATAAGCTCATGGCAGAGATGAAGCATCACAATAGCCTCAGCAAAGCCACTAAGTTGCATGTCTAAATCAGAATTGGACATAACTTCGATGGGAAGAAACTGTATCTGCTGGTCTTTCCTGTTCTATCTTTGCTGGAGGAGAATTTTAAGAAAAAAAAAAAAAGGATGGAGAAGAATAAAAATGAGGAGGGCAGTAAATGCCATGATTATAAGAGGAATCTGCAATGGATAGCATGAGAGCAACAGCCATGTATGTTTGCTGTGCACTCACAAACTGCCATCCAGTTAAAGCATGCATATTCATTCACCTTGAGGCATATTTAGATGTCGTCACCATAAACATTCATATAACTTTTAAGGCCATCATTCAGGACATCCAAACACATCCCCCTACCCTCCTATTCTAGTTTCCAAAGGCTAAGCCTCTGTTACAACTGATAGCTTGTCCGAAAGCAAAGGAAGGAGAAGAGAATTTCTGCTAAAGGACCCTTTGACCACTGAAAAGAAGATAACAGGAAATTTATTCATGATATTAACAAGAAATAACTCCTAGTTCCAATAAATAAAGATTTATGAAATACAGATGAAAAATACAGATGCTTTTAGAAGGGATAATTAGATATTACTGCTACCACTTTCTCCTAGGCTGCAAGAAAAACCATTTTTGACCTTGCTT